AAATCAAAAAGAAAACCCATAAAAATTGCATTTCTTTTGATTTGATTTTTTTTAGTTATATATCTTTTTTTATAAAATTAAAACCAAATAAAAAATATTATTTCCTTTAAACTTTGTTTCTGAATTTATTTCGTCCATAATTCATAAAAAAAGCCATTAAAAAGAATGACATTTGTTTGATTTGCACCAAAAAAAAGTTGTGTCCGTTATATTTTAAGTTCGTTTATTTAAAAAAAAACATATATATTCATAGAAGTATTTTGTTTCCTTTCCTTTAAATATGCCTTACAATTCTGAATATCTTCTTTAAGGCCACGATTTTGATTTCAGGCTTGTCGCTCAATAAAAACACAATCCACACCACAACAAACAATTATGAAGGAGAATTCGATAAAGACAGGCCGTGGTGCGAAGAAACCGACTCTCAAATCAGTTTAGTAGAAACTGATCCGTTTGATGAAGAACCTTGGAACAACAAGTCTGAACCACGAGATAGCGTTGGTGATGAATTGAAGTTTGAAGAGGAGGCCGAGCCCTTCAACAACACTAATCAATCTGAATCGTGGGAGTACTTAACGGAGGATGAGATAGATTTCGAACCCTGTCACATATGTTTCGCGAGTCATCACCAAGGACCAGAAGCTTACTTGAGATGGGAAAGAGATATGAAGAATTGGCTGCAAGCCAACCAAATCCCTGAGGAGGAGAAAACGTCTTATGCCGAAGATACTCTCACCGAAGACGCTTTTAGGCAATGGAAACAAGACGCGTATGCTCGACTTGAGTATGATGTACCTGATGCTTCTTGGGAAGAGATGAAACAAATATTGCGTAAAGAATTTGTGGAGGATGCTGACTGCAAAAGCAATATAAAGATTTATACAAATCCCGAGCCAAGAAGATGGATTCTAGCAACAAAGCCGAATCCGAAAGCAAAGGAAAAGAAAGCTTCATGTCCGGAGCCAAAGAAAGTGTTTACAAGCACTATAGAGGAGAAGACTGTAGATGCATCAAGATTTGCATCAAGTATCAATGGAGGAACAAGATTTCTGAAGAAGCCCTGTGTCACTCAGGATCCAACACAGAAGTCAAAGAGTTAAAGTCAACACGCCAAGTGGCATGACAGGTGGCATCTCGAGCCAAGAATTGAGCAAGTAGGAACCTTGCTGCAGAGAAGTGGTTCAACTAATAAGGAATTGACTTTTTGCAAAAGGTGAAGAAACAAAAAGTGGGTGCGCTGCTCAGAGTGAAGTGACAGGTGAAATAGTGTCTCTGTCACAGTACATTGGTTTGTCTGCTGGTCCAAAGCATGTCTCTTCAGTTATGTTGGCAAATAGAAAACCAATATAACTGAGTTATAGAGCTTCGTTTTTAGGAGTTCTTCTTGCACGAAAAAGACAGTGTGAGAAAGAGATTTGAAGAACTCAAAGAACTCAAAAACCCAGGAAAAGGACATTGGAGTATTGAGTGAAGAACAGTGGTTTCGCAATTGCTGTTGCGTTACAGGTTTGGGTAGATTAGGAATATGTTCAGGAGCAAATCACAGTGGATGGTGTTGCGTAATTCTGGGTAGAATATGATTGTTGAATCTGTTCTATAGAAGTATTCTTGTAATCTATCTGATGAAGCAGGTGCTGTGCGTAGCAGTTGCTACGGCTTCGTAACTGTTGTTGCGTTGCATACTTGGGTAGATTAGGAACACGTTCTGGGTAGAATAGGATTGTGAATCTGTTCCATAAGACTGTTCGTGTAATCTATCTGTTGCACGAGTTGCTTTGTAAAAGCAGTTGTGGTGAATAACAATAAAGACAAATTATTTTTATTGGAACTACTCTATATTGTGCATTATATTTCTGTTTGTATCTTGTACTAAGGTTCCTACTTTTTAAAAGACAAAGGCTAAGAAACCAGCTGGAGCTAAGGAGGTGCCACCATATCCAGATCAACAAGGCGTAGCTCAAACACCAAGTACAAAGCAATTACATGAACCACACGACAAACCAGAGCAATGTAGTCTTCTAAACCCTCTAAGGTAGATGACACGATCTGTTATAGGTGTCACCAGAGAGGTCATTTTGCTAAAACATGTCCCTCTAGAAAAGCAGAATCAACTTCACAACTTGAATTGAAAAAAGAAGAAACTAGACGCGTAAAGAAGATGTTGAGTTAAATTTTGAGATTGCCAATGCTAGTTTAATACACTTTTCTCTGTCAAAGAAACTTGAGATAGTTACAGGTCTGACTAGAGAGGAGTCGAACCAAGAAGGTGCAACAACCATAGACGTGGAGCAAAAGACAACTCCAAAAGTCGTACTAACTAAGGCTACCAAACCGAAACAAGCTGATGTATCCGATCAATTAATTCAATA